CGCAAAGCTTCTCAGACCTTGGATAGCAGCCCGTCGATCCTCTAATAAAGTTGCGCTCTGCAGCCTGTTGCTGAGCACATCGATTGTGTCCGTAGCCGTTTGTTTGGCCGGAGCTTGCGATTCAAGAATTCGAAACATCGCAGCTAGCTCGTAATCTCATGGTCACCTCCGACGGAGGGTGTAAAAACCAACAGGCATCGAAGAGTCAGAAAGAAAGTAAAAAAAAGGTGAATGCCCCGAGGGCAGAGAGGAGAGAGGGGGAGAGAGAGCTGATTGCAGTAAAGCTGTCCTCCCGACGGTTACCAAAGGGGGTTAAAGGCCGGAATCGCTCGAAAGTCTCCCGACCGCCCGGAAACAATTCACCTTCTCCGCAGAGACTTTTTGGTTTCTTTTCTCGCAACCCCCAACTTGCGCCGCGATTCCTTGATCAGGGGCTCACTATCTCTTTTATCCGATTTCGCAAGTCGTCGAGAGTCGCTGCGATCCTGGGTTTCCGACTCGCAGACTCTCTGTGAACTACGGACTTTCAGTGCGCGTCATCTTGCCTATCGCGTCTGCAAGATACCGCATTCGAGCGCAACGCAAATTTTGACTCTTTGACAATACTTGACGCTTCACCCGCAGTCGCATCGTCAATATGGGTGTCCCCGCGCTGTTCCGATGGCTTTCCAACAAGTACCCCAAGATCATCTCCTCGGTGATCGAGGAGCTTCCGCAGGAGGTGGATGGAGAGCCGATTCCAGTCGATACTACGCGCCCAAACCCCAACGGCGAGGAACAGGACAACCTTTACCTCGATATGAACGGCATTGTTCATCCTTGTACCCATCCCGAAGGACGCCCACCGCCCGCCAACGAGCAAGAGATGATGCTCGAGGTCTTCAGATATACTGATCGAGTCGTCAATATGGTCCGCCCAAGAAAGCTCCTCATGATCGCTATCGGTATGTGTAGATCCAGACTTGGCGCAAGCCTGTTTAATCACACACTTTAAGTCTGATGGATACTAACATACTATCTCTCTACCTAGATGGTGTTGCTCCCCGAGCCAAGATGAACCAGCAACGTGCGCGTCGCTTCCGATCCGCCCAAGAAGCTAGAGAAAACGACGAGAAGAAGGAAGAGCTCCAGAAGTTGCTGGCTAGACAAAATGCCAAAAAGGGTGGCGATGCAGTTCTTCAGGAGGAGGTGGTTCAGAAGACCTGGGATAGCAACGTCATTACACCAGGAACCCCATTCATGAACATTCTCGCCGCATCTTTACGTTACTGGATTGCCTATAAGCTCAACACCGACCCAGCCTGGGAGAAGGTAAGACAAAATGCATTCCGTCCCAACTATGTATCATACATTCTAACGATCTCAGATGAAAATCATCATCTCGGATGCTACTGTTCCTGGAGAAGGTGAGCACAAGATTATGGAATTCGTGCGCTCGCAGCGTGCATCACCGGAGCATGACCCAAACACCCGTCATGTCTTTTACGGACTGGTAAGCTTCATTCATTGTTACAAATACATATATCTGCACGATACTGATTCTGAATTACCAGGATGCCGATCTTATCATGTTGGGTCTGGCGACTCATGAGCCTCATTTCCGAATTCTCCGCGAGGATGTGTTTTTCCAAGAATCGAAGCCCCGGACGTGTAGACTGTGTGGACAGCCTGGACACAAGGCTGAAGAATGCACCGGTAAAGCAAAGGAGAAGAGTGGAGAATTCGATGAAAAGCAGCATGCTGCACCACTCAAGCCGTTTATTTGGCTCCACGTTTCGGTTCTGAGAGAATATCTGGCCATTGAAATGCACGTTCCTCAGCAGCCCTTCCCGTTCGACATTGAGCGCGCACTCGATGACTGGGTCTTCATGTGTTTCTTCGTCGGAAACGATTTCTTGCCGCATCTGCCCTCCTTGGATATTCGTGAGAACGGCATCGACACTCTCATCGCTATCTGGCGTGACAATATTCCTGCTATGGGAGGTTATCTCACCCAGGATGGACACGTCGACCTCAAAAGGGCCCAGCTCATTTTAGCAGGACTAGCCAAGCAAGAGAGTGCGATTTTCTCTCGTCGTCGTCAGGCAGATGAAAGAAAGCAGGCCAACGACAGGAGGCGTAAAGAGCAAGACCAAGCTCGGAATCAAGAGCGTGCCAGCAAGCGGAGACGCAGCTCCCCGCCACATGATAATGCCCCGGGTAACCGATCTCGTGGCGGTGCTGGCAGTGTCGACGATGCTCCGCCTGCAGGTCTGGAGTTGATCACCCCTGCTCGAGGACATCTGACCAAGGAGAATAGAGAGATGACCCAAAGCATGGTCGTTAACCGTGGGAATGTCTACCGTGCCAATATGGAGAACAAAAGTGCCGCTGCTGTCTTGAAGAGCAAACTCATGAAAGGCCCTCAAAACGACACTGCTACCGAGGAAGGGGCCTCAAGTGGTGCCCAGCCAGAAGAAGCATCGAATGGCAATGAGGAGCCAACGTCTCCATCGGTTCTCGGAAAACGCAAGGTTGGAGGCGCCGAGGAACAGGACGAAGAATCTGGAACCCCGGGCAGAGACTCCCCTCCTCCACCCCCTCCTAAGAAGAAGGAGGATGAGATGCCAGAGGATACCGTTCGCCTCTGGGAGCCCGGATTCGCCGATCGCTACTACGAGCAGAAATTCGGTGTCGATCCCGAGGACCACGAGTTCCGCCACAAAGTTGCTCGCGCTTATGCGGAAGGTCTCGCCTGGGTTCTGCTCTACTATTTCCAGGGCTGCCCTTCGTGGACCTGGTATTACCCATATCACTACGCCCCATTTGCCTCAGACTTTGTGGACATTGCCGATATGGATATCAACTTCGACCAGGGCAAGCCGTTCAAGCCTTTTGAGCAGCTGATGGGTGTCCTGCCGGCATCGTCTAACCATGCCTTACCTGAGGTATTCCACGACCTCATGAGCGATCCAAACAGCGAGATCATTGATTTCTACCCCGAAGATTTCCCATTGGATCTAAACGGCAAGAAGTTCGCTTGGCAGGGTGTGATCTTACTTCCTTTCATTGATGAGAAACGCCTACTTGCCGCTATGGAGAAGAAATACCCTCTCCTTTCTGATGACGAACGTAACCGCAACACTCACGGTACAGAAGTACTTTTGTTGTCGGACCAACATCCACTTTATCAAGACCTTGTTGGTAACTTCTATTCGAAGAAGCCCGGCCCAGCAAAGTTCAACTTGAACATGCGGGTGAGTGAGGGCTTGGCTGGTATTGTCGAGCGCAGTGAGACATACATTCCCCATGGTTCTCTAGTGTCTGACCTGGAGGAATATGGCATGCCGAGCCTCGACGATGATCGAACACTCACGTAAGTAATTTTTTACCCTCAAAATAATCGGATTATTAACAAATTGACAGTGTCGACTATACCATCCCGAAATCCGAACACATTCACAAATCGATGCTGCTTCGAGGCGTCAAGTTTGCCACACCCATGCTGAATTCGGCCGATGTCCGTGCCGTCAAGGGCCGGGCCCAAAACTCCGGCCGCTCCTTCGGTGGCGCGCCATTCAGGGGAGGCGGCCGCGGTGGACGGATGGACTACGGATCGGACCGTGGAGGAAACCAAGGAGGACCCGGCCGTCCCAATCCATTCGCTGCCCACCTCGATCCTCGTTTCGTTCCCGGCCAGCAAAACAACATGCAGATGGCTCCGGGATGGGTTCCTCCTGGACAAGGAGGTGGTGACTACTCAAGAGGGCCACCCGGACCCCCGCGTGGTGGCATGTCCAACCAGTATGGATATAATCAAGGTTACCAGCAGGATCACTATGGACATGGACATGGTGGACACCGCGGTGGCTATGGTTCTCATGACAACCGGGGCCGGGGTGGCTATCGTGGTGGTGGTGGTGGTGGTGGTGGTGGCCGATACCGTGGAAACCGGGGTGGGGGCGGCCACTACTAATAGCGATCGCTGATGAGACGGAGAACTGTTCTCCTTCTATCACAAGTTGCTAAACCATGATATGGACCTCATAACATCTTCGTGACTGGATAGGGGGAGTTTGAGGATAATGGGCGTTTGGTCTTTTTTTTCTGCATGTACAAAAAATGAAATTATACGACCATAGTAAGAAGTTTATTCGCTTTGCACTCGATTCAGTTTGCTTTTTCCCGGTTTATTTCTACTCGTACCAGGATTTGTACTTTTGGGCGGCTTACTGCATCTCATGCAATAGATTCTGCAATGGCGGATGTATACTAGTATGACCAGGTGTGTTCGGAGAGCTCTAAAATAGTGACAGGTTCAGTCATGCATGCCTAGGCAGGTATATGCCAAATAATACCTGGCAACTCCTGACCATCCCCTTCCGTTCTGATGTATCTATTAGTAGCAGCAAAGGAAATGAATTCTATAGTTTATAGACACACGATCTAAAACCGCTTCCAACCTTGATCTATAGGTAGTGAATCGCTTCTTTATTCTACTTTACCTAATTGAGAGGCCACTAGTTTCCCTGCCAGTAGTAACTATCTTACACATAAACTCAAGTTTTCCACGACCAAGTTCAAGTTGTTTCGTACCATCCTTAATATTCCTAACATCTCTCCGTCATAACCAACTCACATGATGGGAAATTTCTCATGGATTCATGCACAACCACTAGAGCCACATACGCATCTAGCTTCGCTGGAATGGATTTCTATCAAGACAGGTTAGCTCATGATGAATCTGACATGAGGGTTGTTTAATACTTACACTGCGAGACCGGAAGAAGGGTAGAAGTAGGTTTCTGTTCGTCGGCTTGCTTGCCAAATACAAGACGAAGCGACTTATTATGCGCTTGAAGATAGTTGCCCTCCGCGTCCGCGATCGAATACTCGTTTCCAGACTCTTGGTGAAGTGTAAAACGCTGGGCCTGGTCTACGTCACAAGAACCTGAGCCCTCTGAGCACTCGAGAAATTTTCCATGGTAACCACCGAGGTCTCTGGATTGAAGTAAAACGGATTAAGGGGTGGAAGAGGTGACAATGTACCAAATCTGGTTGGAATTATCATTTTGGTTGGCTGGGGCAAATACCAGAGGGCCATTCTCCGCGTATGGATCGACAGTCAATACATCGGATGCATCATTTTGAATAGTGTATTTGCCTGATGGAAATTGACTGTATGCCTGGCCACCAAGGGCAACGAGGGTAGCAAGGATGGGGGAAAACTGCATCGTGATTGGTTCAAATATTGAAATGTTTACAATGCGAGGTGATGAGTTTTTGGAAATTGGTTCGACTGTTTGCGTTGGATAGGAGAATAATCGAGGGATCGAGATAGATCATAAATTGAGATGGACAGGTCCTAAGAGGAGATTTGGCAGAAAAGATCAGTAATTTATAGAATTTCTGCACGTGGGTTTGCATTGTCGAAGACCCAAGTGATAGCTGAATGCCCATGGAACTACTGAAGCATTCTGTGGGTTTTTACGGAGTACTTCATAGGGGTACTCCGTACCTATTTGCATATGTAGGTACAGTATGTAAGTAGTTCCAGTCATGCCCTATCAGCCAAAGACTCAGGCTACATAGAGGGTCTCAAATATCAAGACGCCAACTGGAGTGTTGCTTGTTCCACCCCATAAACTAGTGAGCTGATACATGTAGATCTCAAATGTTTGAATTGATTCGGTGATCACCTGGGCAGCGACAAGCCCAGCTGAGCCATCGCAAAAAGCAAGTTGAAACAAACAACATTGTTAAATTACTCATCTAGGGAGAATACCAGTATAGCCTGCAGTCTCGTAATATTAGCATGCATGCTAGTACTGCTAGTAATATTGTTGTACGGAGTACCGTAATACTAGGATTAGTAATTGGTGGCTCAGCTGGACTGACTCACCGAAGGCGGTCAAGGGGAACTGCCGCGAGATCGGAGGGGAAAGAATTATTGAGTCAGTCACAGTCACAGTCATAGTCATAGTCATTACTTCCATCTTCCTGGTCGCATTTTGCCAGGTCTTACGCTGACTCCTGGTGCAGAAATACCAGGTACGTTCTATTCATCGCGGCTGAGAGAGCGTCTTCAATTCCTCGCGCCTTGCATCACAATCACTAGCTTCAACTTCGATTGTGGGGAGGAATCAGCATAACTCCCCGAAGATCCTCCCCTCCTCAAAAAGACCCAAACACTAAATTTCACAGAATGAATTGAGCAGGAAACTGGAATTGCACATATCGAGATCACACAGCTCCCGTCCATCATCATGACCGAACCCACCAAGATCAGTATCTTGGGTCGGGAGAGCATCGTCGCCGATTTTGGCCTGTGGCGCAACTATGTCGCCCAGGACCTAATCACCGGCCTGCCCTCCACGACTTATGTCCTCATTACTGATACCAACCTCGGATCCATCTATACTCCGAGCTTTCAAAAAACTTTCGAAATCGCCGCCGCCTCAGTCAACCCTGCCCCTCGTCTGTTGGTCTACAATGCCGCCCCCGGTGAGAGCTCAAAGTCCCGCCAGACTAAAGCCGACATTGAAGATTGGATGTTGAGCCAAAACCCACCATGTGGTCGTGACACTGTTGTTATTGCCCTGGGCGGCGGAGTCATTGGTGATTTGACAGGTTTCATTGCGGCGACCTACATGCGTGGGGTTCGCTATGTGCAAGTCCCAACCACCCTCCTCGCCATGGTGGATTCCTCAATTGGAGGCAAAACAGCCATTGATACACCATTGGGTAAGAACCTGATTGGTTCCATTTGGCAACCGTCAAGGATTTACATTGATCTCGAATTTTTGGAGACCCTCCCCGTCCGAGAGTTCATCAATGGCATGGCCGAAGTTATCAAGACCGCCGCCATCTCAAGCGAGGAAGAATTCACCGCGCTCGAAGATAATGCGGATCTGATTCTCGACGCTGTTCGTAGCGAGGCTAAGCCTGGCCAAGGCCGCTTTGATGGCATTCGCGATATCCTGAAGGCCAGAATTCTGGCATCTGCCCGCCACAAGGCTTTTGTTGTTTCCGCGGATGAGCGTGAAGGTGGCCTCCGCAACCTATTGAACTGGGGACACTCCATTGGCCACGCCATTGAAGCTATTCTTACCCCACAGATCCTCCACGGCGAGTGCGTTGCCATTGGCATGGTCAAAGAGGCCGAGCTGGCCCGACACCTGGGCATCCTGAAGGGCGTTGCTGTGGCCCGTGTTGTCAAGTGCATATCCGCCTACGGCCTTCCCACTTCTATGAAGGACTCTCGCGTGAGGAAATTGACCGCTGGCAAGCATTGCTCAGTGGATCAATTGCTCTTTAACATGGCCTTGGACAAGAAGAACGACGGGCCCAAGAAGAAGATTGTTCTCCTATCTGCGATTGGACGCACCCACGAGCCCAAGGCTAGTGTTGTTGCCAACGAAGATATTGGTGTTGTTCTGGCACCTAGCGTCGAGGTGCACCCCGGCGTCCCCAAGACTCTTAACGTGACCTGCGCACCTCCCGGATCTAAGAGTATCTCCAACCGCGCTCTTGTTCTCGCTGCGTTGGGCTCGGGCACCTGCCGTATCAAGAACCTTTTGCACTCTGATGACACTGAGGTTATGTTAAACGCTCTGGAACGACTGGGAGCAGCCACCTTTTCTTGGGAAGAGGAGGGAGAAGTTCTTGTCGTCAACGGTATGGGAGGTAATATCACGGCCAGTCCGTCCCCCTTGTACTTGGGCAACGCTGGAACTGCTTCCCGTTTCTTGACAACCGTTGCCACTCTTGCTACTCCTAGCACTGTTGACCACAGCGTCCTTACTGGTAACAACCGAATGAAGCAAAGACCCATCGGTGACCTTGTTGATGCTCTGACCGTCAACGGCGCTAGTGTCGAGTATATGGAGAGCAAGGGCAGCCTGCCCCTCAAAATTGGAGCTTCTGGTGGCTTCGCCGGAGGCAGTATCAACCTTGCTGCGAAGGTTTCTTCGCAGTATGTCTCTTCGCTGCTTATGTGTGCTCCATATGCCAAGGAGCCTGTGACTCTGAAGCTGGTCGGAGGCAAGCCCATCTCCCAACCCTACATTGACATGACCACCGCCATGATGCGCTCCTTCGGCATTGACGTGAAGAAGTCCACCACTGAGGAACACACCTACCACATTCCCCAGGGCCACTATGTCAACCCTGCCGAATATGTTGTCGAGAGTGATGCAAGCTCTGCCACTTATCCCCTGGCCATTGCAGCGATCAGCGGTACCACTTGCACCGTTCCGAACATCGGCTCCAAGTCTCTCCAGGGTGATGCCCGTTTTGCTGTTGATGTCTTGAGGCCGATGGGCTGCACCGTTGAGCAAACGGATTACTCCACCACCGTCACTGGTCCGGCTAGCGGCATTCTTCGACCGCTGCCCAATGTGGACATGGAGCCTATGACAGATGCTTTCTTAACTGCCTCTGTTCTCGCTGCTGTCGCCCGTGGTGAAAGCTCAAACCACACCACCCGTATCTACGGAATTGCCAATCAGCGTGTCAAGGAGTGCAACCGAATTAAGGCTATGAAGGATGAGCTTGCAAAGTACGGTGTTGTCTGCCGTGAACACGACGATGGTATTGAGATCGACGGAATTGAGCGATCGACCCTCCGTCAACCCGCGGGCGGCGTTTTCTGCTACGACGATCACCGTGTCGCCTTCAGCTTCAGTGTCTTGTCACTTGTCGCCCCCAAGTCTACTCTCATTCTCGAGAAGGAGTGCGTTGGAAAGACATGGCCTGGCTGGTGGGATACCATGAAGCAACTTTTCGGTGTCAACCTTGACGGCAAGGAGCTGGGTGAAGAGGAGTTGGCTACCTCCACCCAGGAGGAGAAGGTCAGTGCTTCCGTCTTCATCATTGGTATGCGTGGAGCTGGAAAGACCACTGCCGGCAACTGGGTAGCATCAAGCCTCGACCGACCTTTCATCGATCTTGATACCGAGTTAGAAACGACCGAGGGAATCACCATTCCGGAGATGATCAAGCAGCGTGGCTGGCAAGGATTCCGCGATGCGGAGCTTGCCGTGCTTCAGCGTGCTATGAAAGACCGACCCACCGGCTACGTTTTCGCCTGCGGTGGCGGTGTAGTTGAGATGCCCGAGGCCCGTAAGCTCCTCGCTGACTACCACAAGAACAAGGGTAATGTTCTCCTTATTATGCGTGATATCAAACAAGTCATGGAATTCCTCCAGATTGACAAGCTTCGCCCTGCCTATGTGGAAGATATGATGGGAGTATGGCTACGTCGCAAGCCCTGGTTCCAAGAATGCAGCAACATTCAGTACTACAGCCAACACTCCAACAATACAGAGCTTGCCTTGGCTTCAGAAGACTTCCAGCGCTTCATGCGGGTTGTCACCGGCCGCCAGGACAACCTCAGCGTTATTAAGAAGAAGAAGCACTCTTTCTTCGCCTCCCTCACTCTGCCCGACTTGCGTGAATGTGGTGATATTCTCAGCGAGGCCTGTATCGGCTCTGATGCTGTGGAATTGCGGGTTGATCTATTGAAGGATCCGGCTTCGGATAATGATATTCCCTCCGTGGATTTCGTTGCCGAGCAGATGTCTTTCCTCCGCCGCCGTGTTACCATTCCCCTCATTTTCACCATCCGTACCAAGAGCCAGGGTGGTCGCTTCCCCGATGATGCACATGAAGCTGCCGCGCAGCTCTACCGCCTGGCGTTCCGCTCAGGATGCGAATTTGTTGATCTTGAGATTGCTTTCCCCGATGAGCTTCTCCGTTCTGTTTCCGAGATGAAGGGCCACTCGAAGATCATTGCATCTCACCACGACCCTGAGGGCAAGCTGTCTTGGTCCAACATGTCTTGGATTCCATCTTACAACCGTGCTCTGGAGTATGGTGATATTATCAAGCTTGTTGGTGTCGCCAAGACTCTGGATGACAACACCGCTCTCCGGAAATTTAAGACTTGGGCCGAGGAGGCACACGAAACCCCATTGATTGCCATCAACATGGGTGACACTGGCCAGCTCAGTCGCATCTTGAACGGTTTCATGACACCCGTCTCCCACCCTTGCCTTCCTTTCAAGGCTGCTCCCGGTCAACTTTCTGCGACTGAAATTCGCAGGGGTCTGTCACTCATGGGTGAGATTAAGGCCAAGAAGTTCGCCATCTTCGGCTCGCCAGTGTCTGGTTCGCGATCCCCCGCCCTCCACAACACTCTCTTCGGCGAGACGGGTCTTCCCCACAGCTACAG